TTACTTATAATAAAATTAGTAATAAATTTGATAATTGAGATTAACATAATTCCTAAAATTATGATTAATATATCAACAGGCGATTCATAGTTTAAAGAGGAACACTAGTGGCCAAAGAATGAACTTGAAATTTCTTAAGTATGCTCAAAGTAATCAGTGCAATAATATGAATGATAGTTCTGTTAGTTATGCCAGTGCTTCCTTAGTTCTTGAGTGATAAAATATATTTTAAATAACATTATTGTCATCTAAAGAATTTGCAGAAAGAAAGTACTACAAAAAAATAAAAACGGCAGTAATAACCTATTAATCATAAAATGCATTAATACAAATTTTTTAAAATTCTGTTTAATATTTTAAAAAAATAAAAACACTAAACATCATGTTGCATATTGTATTATGCAAAATTTTCTTAACCGTTTGAGAAAAAATATATTGATATTTGTAATGAATGTGATGAGTAGAAGTATATTATTGTCAAATTGTTTGATTTAAAAATATTTCGGTTCATTACTTACAAGAAATAATCAGTACTTCCAAATTTCCATTATGGAAGGAGCTTAAGTTTCTTTGCTTTGATGAGTACTACAGTTATGAAAACAACACTACATACAGTGCATTTTATATGTACTAAAAAGGCAGAAGGTTCAATCTATTGATGAAAAAGGGATTGCAGATGAATTAATATTTATCTACATAACTTTATCACAGCTTTAAAATTTAAAGCAAATGACAAAAAATCTTTAATATGTATTGATGTTATTAATTTAAAGTATTAAAAAAATAAGTTGAACAAATAAAAAGGATAATAACATTGTTCATAATTTTAACATTATTCATAAAATATTGAAACATGAACATTTGTACATTATAATTTAAGTATATAAAATTGTTTATTATATGGATCTGACAGTGTAGATTATGAATTAAAAATATATTGTTAGTACAAAATTATTACTGCTTATTATTTGAAATTTAATTTTTTATTAAATTAATTACATTTGATGTTTACTTCTAATTACTAGGACAATAAATATTAAGAACATTAATAAACAGAAAATACTTTGACATAAATTGCATTATCTCAGGGATATGTATAAGCTGAAAGCTACAAGTATAGGATTAAAATTTATCTCTTCTAGGTCATTAGAATGAACAGTCTGCATTAATCGATACGAAGTGAAATATTACAGATGAATGTCATACAACTTAATTATCTTTTCTTTAAAACAAAGCAATGAAATGATCTCATATCCTTCCTACCCTATACTATCTTGTTATTCCTCATTAGTATAAGGAATTATAAACAAATATTGTACTGTTACAATATCACAATATAAATGTGAAGGAGGATCAGTGTGGGAAAATATGTCTACAATGTATTAAACTATTACTAATATTCTTTTACTTTTAAAAAACTATTATACGGAGGTAGAAAAATGGATTATAGGAAGACACAAAAGCAAGAGGGGCTTCACCTGTGACATCTCCTACAATTTCACTTTCAAATTTTGGTGGGCTCTTTAATTCTAAAAGTACCCGTGTTCTAATATCAAATACAACAATTATACTAACAATATCACCCAATCTGATACATTTTAACTGTCTGCAAAATTTTACCAAAATCAATGTGTATCAGTTGGATGATGTCCCTTGTAAGTAAAAGTAATTTATATAGGAAGGTGTTTGTAATCTCGTTACTCATTGTAATCAGAAGAATTTTGTCAAGCTTTTAATAATAATTTTATGATATTATAAAAAATAAAAATATTTGTATTTTGTATTAGTGGTTGATATAGAGACGTCTGCAGTATCGCTTTGAAATTCGTCGGATGTTCGTTTCTTCCCATTGGTTCTTCGTATATTTTCTTTATTCTCTTTGTTTCACAATGCTACATAATTCGATTTATAGACATTAAAATTTCGAACAATAGTAAAAAGACGTGCCCGTGGTTATAAAAAATTATAACCAATCAGACAAGTATTTCTTCCAGGTACCAATTTTCTAGCTCTGTATATTACTGATGTTACAATACAGCATTTTTGTATTAAATTGTATGTATAATCTATGAGGCTCGTTTTATAATAAAGTGAAGTAACATTTATTGAAACATTATATTTACATTGTTATGTCAAATATGATTTTGTTTGTTATTCTTAGTACTTTTATGTATTGATTTATTCATGGATCTATAATATGTGAAATCATAAAACTAATCTTTCAAGTGTTACTTTTTTATCTTTGTATATTAAACTGATAAGATCTGTATTTGTATGAAGTATATTAAACAACCCATATATATCGTTTCATAGTTGCATAATAATTAAGAAAAAATATATATAAATTTGTATGCACCTTTAAAAATAAACACTTAAAAATTATGTTTAAATATAGCTTTAATTACAGTACTTGTAATTATTAAAACAATTTTATAAATATTAATAAAACAACAATAGTTTGTATAAAAATATCTTGTGTATATTTATTTGTTAAGAGAAACTAACAGGTTTACTAATTCAAATAATACCTGTATTAAGGTATTACATTTACTTTTATATCATATTGTTGATCCAGTCCTATGTAGCAATCAGACATCAAATAAAATGTTAGAGTTGTTCGACCTTTAAAAGAAATTAAATTTTTATAAAACAAAGTTTTATGATTTTGTACAACAAAAGGTATATGCATAAATATAAGTAAAGATAAAATTACCTAATTCTGGCGGTGATGTGAATTGTAATTGATGACATTTGCGTTGTTCATTTACTCCAGATGCTCGTTTCAGAGCTAGTAATTCCTTATTAGAAACATTACCTAAAACGAGAAACCAACCTTCATCCTTTCCTTTCTGAAACATGGGACAGTGTACTTTCAGATTAATAGTCTTATTTTTTCTCTTCATCCCAATATTTAGTATATAATCTTGATTTTTATGGATATCTATGTAATCAAAACTCTCAGATTGTAACGATATAAACTTTTTCTTTTTTTCATCGTGACCTTCTAAACTTAAGTCAATAATGAGTATTGGCATTTCTTTTAGTACTTGATGTATCTGCAAAATTATTAATGATTAATATTTTGATGTCCCTAATATTTGTTAATTCACCAATAATTAGTAAGTATGTCCTATTACACATTATATTAGTAAATATGATAGTTTTGGTATGTAGTGGTTTTAATAAAATATTGTACACTTAAAATCTAATATATTTACCTGATAGATGTGTTCCTGTTGAAGTTCTTTACTAAGAACTTCTACAAGTAAATTATATTTACTATGTGCAACAGCACATAGCCTTGGGAGAATTAGTGACAAAGTTGAAAATAACTGTAAATATTCTGAATTTACATGTGGTAATGTAGTAATAGCAGATTCATCAATCCATCGAGCTTGAATAATCATCTGAAGTAGATGCATTATCATAAGTGCACTTGCTAACCATCCTTGTTCTGCAACTGTATCTATCATTGCCTGAAAAAAATATAAATTATATAGAATGAATAACATTTAATTGTAAGTTCATTTTTTAACTTATATTTATTCAGCATTTTTTACTCAATTTAGTGAGTACTATCTATCTTGTAAGTCCTGTACTTTTTTCTAAAAGCATCATAAATAAGGTGATATATTTCTTTTTTAATATACATACTTGGATAATTCTAATTGCTTGATCAAGAACCAATTTCAAATCAGTAATGTAATCTGAACATGGTAAAGGAAGTCTTGAGAAATGAGCTTGAAGTAACAGGAAAGTTTTGGTATGTGGAGAATTATATGAGTAGTTATCTACTTGGTAACGACACATTTTGCTTAGTTCCCTATTCAATCATTATAAACATTAGAATAAAAAACAATTTTAGAAATATATTTTTTTATTCACTAGTAAGAATTATAACTTACTCATTTAATAATTCTTCATTGTGCCTAACTGGTAATTCATTGTATTCATAAGAATTACATAAAATGTGTAGACACTGTTCCAATGTAAGACATTCTTGTAATGATTGCTCAAACATTAACATAGTATGATATGATAAATAATAAAATGATGCTATTTTACCCATTGAAAGTGGATATAAAATTTGTTCTTCCTAAAATCAATAAAAGTATTACAAATTCTAATTTTTAATAATAAATTAACAATAAAAATTTAATTTCACTCTTTTACCATGTACCTCATTAAAGTCTATGCAATGTGAATCCATTAATACTTTTAATGTATTGTCCACCAGTGAAGATAAGTACTGGTTAATTGCAAGAGGTTCTAAAGCATTTAGATCATAATATTTGGGATTTTTCATTAATCTTCTAAAGAAATAGGTCCATGTTAAATAATCTAAAAATTCTTGTTTATTTTTAATTGTACCAGCCACAATTTCAGCATTTATGTGATCTGGTAAGACAGCCAATAAACTTGATTCTACTGGAAATGGTTGATGCAAAAATTTTTTATAAAAATTTTTTTTCAAATCATGTACTAGAACTACTGCCACTCCCGAAACATCAAATTGAGGTCTGCCTGCACGACCCATCATTTGAAGCACATCCGTGATCGGCATATCTACATAACGTTTTCTTTTACCATCATAGTATTCTGTTCCCTTTATTACTACCAAATGAGCAGGGAAATTTACACCCCAAGCCAATTTACAGGAAGTATATTGTGTATTTATTAATGATACAACCCATCTTATTGGAAAAAAAAGTTTAGTAAAAAAACGATTAACATCAAATTAAATCTAAATTTATTACTTATTTGTAAAATCAGACAATAAACAAAAATTATAAATAGTGGATAATGTTATTGCCAATTATGTTAAATGTATACCTGAATTTTATTATTGACAAACAATTCTTCAACAATCTTTCTATCTTTATCTTGAAGACCAGCATGATGAAGTCCAATTCCAAAAGCAAGAGTAAGCTTCAAATCGGAATCTCGTAAATGATCTAAAATGCTGTTCAACTCTTCTTCAAGCATATTTAACCACTGTTTAGGATTAACTTCTGCTACAAGATATGCAATTAAATCTAACGCAGTTATACGCGTTTGTTTACGCGATGAAACAAACACTAAAGAAGGACTAGATGGTGCATGTTGTTTAATAGCTTGAAAAGTTGGTCTATTCATTGTTGCCATTCGAGGACAATAATTTTTTTCTGGAAATCCATTTATATGAATTTCTAATGGTACAGGTCGAACAGAGGGACGGAAATTATATAGACCCATTTCTCTGATATCAAGCCAATTAGCTAAATCGATTGCATTGGCTAATGCTGTAGAAAGTCCAACAACTCTTAATTTTTTAGAAGTGTGACAAGAGATAAAATTAGTTCTTGAAACAATAACTTCCAATACAGGACCACGATCTTCGCCTAATAGATGAATTTCGTCTATAATGATAAGTGCAACATTTTTAACATAAGTTCTTGTTTGCCAACTTCTACTAATACCATCCCATTTCTCTGGTGTAGTCACAATAACGTTCGCACTTGCTATAACTTTAATATCTGGTGATACATCTCCAGTCAGTTCTATTATCTTTTTTCCCAACTGTTCTTCGAATCTAAGTTTCCAGTCTTTCATTCGTTCTCTAACTAAAGCTTTCAATGGTGCAATATATATAACTTTTTGTGTGGGATATTGTTTAAATACTCTAAACATAGCAATTTCGGCCGCAATTGTTTTTCCTGAACCTGTTGGAGCTCCCAAAAGAACATTATTGTCTGTATGATACAAACAATGAAAGATTTGTGTTTGTATTGGATTAAAATGAGAAAATTTATAAAGTTTCTCAAAAGATGGTTCTTTTAATGCTTTTACTGATAGTGGTTTTAACTCTAACAAATTCGTATGTGGTGGATATATTTCAGGTAAAATTAAGTCATGAAATGTTAGAGGTAACATATTTTCACAACCCAACCAGTGATCACTTGTTGCTTTTATTATATATTGAGAAGGCAATGGTTCCTGTAATGGTATAGTCATTACAAGTTCTTGTTCAAGATTGTTAAAAACCATTTTTCTTGTCATGACAAAGTATTCATAATGATAAAGAAAGTTAGTATCTGGATCTTCTATCCATATCCAAAAAGGTTGTGATGTTCTACCATGAACCTTGTCATTCCACCGAAATTGAGGGTATATCTTTAAACGTATTCTTAAAACTGTGCGGGTAATTGGTTGTAAATTAGATTCCATTTCTAATGCAGGTAATTCTTCACAACACCTTTTCACCAATTCTGCTGTATTATGATTACGCAAAATATCTCCAATTTCTTTAACATTCATATCATTTAATCTATCAATTGTCAAATCATATTGTTCTATTTTATCAATAACTTCTGAAGATAAACATAAAAACTGACACAGAGGATTTGTATGACTCCATTGTTGCATTTCCAGCATTTTTGCCATTTCTAATAAACGTCCTGCCATTATTGCATTGTTTTGTCCCAGCATAATTTTAAACAATGCTCGACATATACGTACTGCATTTTGTATAATATATGCTTGGTCTGATATTAATGAAAATGAATTAACTCGGCCATGTGATAAATATGTCTGCAATAAAATATTCACTTTACCATGTATATTTTCTATACCACCCAGAACTATAAGTTCACAGTACTTTTCAGTTAAATCTTCCAACTCTTTCATTTCGTCTTCTCGCACTTTCAACTGTTCAAATTCTTGAGACTGAGATATCATAGCAAATATATCTGCTTCAGTCATAATTGGTTTTATAAGACTATTGAAAATCTCAATAGTATCATATTTAAGATAAAAGTGACTCGCAATACGTCCTAAGTCTGTGGTATTGAGGCTCTGATTTAATGTATTGTACCGAATCATTTTAGCCTTATCTAATGCTTTAGCTGCTGTATCAATTAATTCTCTCCTTTTTCGTTCTAAATTCGGATCTTCCGCAATTTCTTGATAAGGAATTCCATAGACTTGATAATTTAACTTCATTCGAACAAATAAATAAGTGTAACTTAACCATTCTACAGCTTCTTCTACATTTGAAATTGTACCTAGCGCAATTTCAGCATTTAAATTATCAGCCAAATATGTAATGAAACTACTCTCAATAGGTAATTGATTTGTTAATAATGATAAATACTGATATAATTTATTATATGAAGTAATAATAACAGCATGACCAGATGCATCAAACTGTGGTCTACCAGCACGACCAAAAATTTGTAAAACATCTAATATACCCAAATCAATGAAAGAACCATGCTTTGAATCATATATTTCTGTTCCTCTTATAATAACTGCATGTGCAGGTAAATTTACACCCCAAGCCAATGTTGATGTACATACTAATACTTTAATTAATCCTTGTGCAAAATATTTTTCAACTAAATTTCTCTCTGATCGCAATAAGCCAGCATGATGTACTGATAATCCTTTATGAAATAATTCAGTTAGGTGTCTATTACGCGATTTAGCAAAAGGTTTATTTGTATATGATGCCTGACTATTAGGCATAAATAGCTGAATTGTACCACGTTGGTTTGCTAACTCTATTAGTGCATTTGCCACTTTAACGGTAGCATTACGTGCGTGTACAAATACCATTACTTGATGTCCTTTACGTAATATATCTACAACATTTTCATAACATACGCAATCCATACGATTCATTTCTTGCAAAGGTGTTGTTGATTTTACACCAATAAATGTCTGACTAAGTGGTACTGGTCGAAATCGATGGTCGAAATAAAAAAGTCCTACATATGGATTCACTCTTAAAAATCTTGCAACATCTAAGTAATTTGGTAAAGTTGCTGAAAGTCCAACAATTCTAATCATGCTTTGTGAAGATTCTACTTGTCTTAAAGTTCGAGCAACTAACGCTTCAACAACAGGTCCTCTGTCACCGTGTAATAAATGTACTTCATCGATAATTAATAACTTCACAATACTAGTGAGAGAGATATCTCCAGTACCTTTCCTAGTAACAACATCCCATTTTTCTGGTGTGGTAACAATCATTTGTGTTTCTTGAATTTCTGATTTAGTTAATTGCATATCTCCAGTCAATTCACGAACTGATATACCTAGACACTGAAGTCTTTTACCAAAATTTGCTGTCATTTCAGCTGCTAAAGCTTTCATTGGTGTTATATAAATTATTTTAAATTGATTTCTCATTAATTGACCATCTTTAATGTGTTGCTTTAATTGATGGACTACAGTTAACATAGCAACATTAGTCTTTCCAGCTCCCGTTGGCGCACAAATTAATAAATTTTCATTAGTATGATATGCTGTATCAAATACTATACTTTGTATTCGATTTAATGAAACAACATCACCGAAAGCCATGCGTCCGATATCATCTAAGGAAGCTATCATAACAGGTTCGTAACTGATTTCTATTGGTTCAGTTTGTGTAATAGGTATAGAAATTTCCTCAAACATTTCTGTGTTTTTTCGCACATTATTTTGTGGTAACATTACTTTATGTTGCGATACATAACCAGGTGTAGTTCTACTGGATATATTGGAGTCAAATACATAAGGAAAATTATTTTGTATATTTTTGTATGAAGTAGTATCTTTTTTAAATATGGGCATACGCGTTTCTACTAATGCTTCCTGCTTTTTTAAACTTAGTTCAAGAAAAGGTTCAAAGTCATTTTCTTCTAAATCTCCTTTTCCTTCTCGTTTACTTGATATCTTATTTAATTTCTTTTCTCCTTTTCGTATTTGCTTCAATAACTGTTTTTCTTTTGCAGATTGTATAGTTATTTGACCACTGATTACAGGTCTCTGAACATTAAATTGTTTTTGTACTTTTGGACCAGAATTCAAAGATATAATACTTTTTTGATGTTGAATAATATATTGTATAAGTTCAATATATTCGCAACCCAGGAAATCAAGTAATTCATTTTCTAAATTTGTAGGATTTTTTAATTTATCAATTATGGC